GAGAGAGAGAGAGAGAGAGAGAGAGAGAGAGAGAGAGAGAGAGAGAGAGAGAGAGAGAGAGAGAGAGAGACAGAGAGACGTGGTTGCCTGATATCGCGACCCGGGTCACGAGGGAGGTTCACCAGCCTCCCGGATGGGGATGCCCCTTTCCAGGAGGCTGATGAGAGTCGGCAGCGCTGGCTGCAAGGGAAGAATGCGGTGTGGGAATGGGTTCGTCAGGGGCAAGAGGTGGGAGTGCATGGAAAGGGGCAATATAAGTTGCGTTGCACGTTGTGCAACCGCATTTGGGTTGGGGCGCGAACGAAGGCAGAGGATTACTTCATCTGTCCGGCTACGCACTGCATATTTCGTACAGTAGAGATCCTGTACAAGTTAATGCGAGACGGGGTCTCCATCACGGACCCTGTGGGGAGGGCTATGGCAGAGAGGCACATGGACGTCCGCGAGGAGGACTTGGAGATGGAGGACCTGCGAAGGACCGATGAGGCGGCTGCCCCCGCTGCAGGCATGGCAGATGACCGGGCTGCTGGCCATGGAGAGGAGTCAGCAGCCCGAGGGGTGGATCCCACGATGACGGATGAGGGACGGGTTGGTGGTGTGCGCGTAGAGGATGAGCTCACTACACTCAGAGAGAGGATACGAGTCCTCGAGGCGGGGTGAGGGTCAACCCCGTCGCAGAGTACTTCGCGACAACGTTCGAGGCCGAGAGTCGACATGACGTGACTGAGGACGGAGGGCACATCTGGCCCATCGGGCGTCGTCGTGCCCCATGATCGTTGCATGCTCCAGACGAGGTTGGATAGCTGGGCCAGCGGGGGTTTGCAGCAGTAGTACGAGCGGTTGTGGGCGAGAGCGTTGTTCAGGGCTAGGGTGCCTTTCTCGTTCATGCACCTCGAGACCACGCAGGAGTTGCACGACTTTATGGTGTCACTGATGAGGGCGACGATCGGGCCAGCTTTGGTCCTGCCCTCATACAATGACATGCGCACACGACTCCTAGATGACATCTACTATGAGATTGCAGAGAGAGTCGCGCAGAAGAATGTGAAATGGAAGCTGACGGGGTGTACCATGATGACGGATGGGGCTACAACGAGGTTGTACAAGCCCGTCGTTAACTTCCTTGCAGCAGGTGAGGACGGGCCAGCCTTGATCACCACCGTCAACATGTCGTAGAGGGACAAGACTGGCGTGGCACTGACGGATTTGTGGGAGGAGGTGATCCGAGATATTGGCGTTGACGTTGTCAATGCCTATTGCACTGACAATGCTTACGCCAATAAGGTGGCCACGCAGTGGTTGCAGGACCATCCAGACACCGCCATCTCTCGGATCCCTTGGCTCCCCTGTGCGGCCCATTGCTTGAGTCTCCTCCTGCGAGACATTACGTGCTTTGAGTGGGTGCGCCCTATCTTGAAGAACACACACAAGGTTGTGATGTTCTTCAAGAATATTCAGAAGGCCGTCACGTATCATCGGTCCTTTAAGGGCCGAGGGCAGCTAGAGCTGATCCGACCATGTGACACACGGTTTGGGTTTGGTGGAGCACCTCACGGATCAGGAGCATATACTGAGGGCTGTTGTGGGCAGTGTGAGATGGCGGGCCACCCCATGGAAGGTGAAGGCAGCCCAGGATGAGCGCCCCATTCGACAACTTGTGTTGTCCGACCTGTTTTGGGAGAGAGCGCATCGCGTGCAGGATGTCATGCAACCGGCGTACAGCCTGTTGAGTGACATGGATAAAGACGATTCTTCCCCCCCACCCTTTGGGGGTTTGTGGACAGGATCAGACAACAAGTTCGTGACATCGGTCTCTCTGAGGAGAGGGTGGAGTACCGTTACAGCATGATGCGAGAGGGTGGAGTACCGTTGCAGCATGATGCGTCAGCTGGCTCACACGCTCGCATACCTCGTGGACCCACGACGGCGAAATGTCTCTATGTTGGTGGATACCAGTAGCGCGGTTGTGCAGAGTGCGCTGGATCATTTGTCGAGGTTCACTGTCGACGGCCCGGGCTCAGAGGAGCACGGCAAGTTGTGGTTCACTTTGTACTTGTTCCACCATGATGATCCCCATGCGAGCCCAGACCAAAATGGTGGACGGATCCCAAGGTGAAGGCGGATGCGGGGAGGATGCACCCCACCTATTGGTGGTATCTGCACGGTGACGACTTCCCGCTCTTGAAGAAAGTCGCCATCAAGGTGCTCGCTATGTGGTCTACTGCCTCTCCTTGTGAGAGGAATTGAGCCTCGCATGACTTCATTCACACGAAGAGGCGCAATAAACTCTTGAGTGATAGTCTGCGGAAGCTTGTGTTCATCCATTGAAACATGCAGCTTCTGCGAGCCCAGTCGGGTCCCCGGAAGCGGTTCGTGGATGTTTGGGAGGATATGGTGGAGGATCCATCAGAGCCGCAGGTCGGCGCTGCCTCTGAGGAGGTGTACCGCGACGACATGACGATCCCCGAGGAGGTGGAGGCAGAGATGCGCTGTCGGCGCAAGGAGGGGGGGGATCGTGCCAGTGCACGACTGTTGCAGGGGCGAGACTACGAGGATGAGGATGCCGAGGACGTCATTTACGAGGTGGATGACGTCTGGGCAGGGAAGGACATGATAGAGGAGATTGCGGCGGCGGGGAAGGGGAAGGAGGCAGTCCGCGATGACCCTCTCGTCTCTCGTGTGTGGGACAGGTGGGGTGGCCTCGACATTGTAGATGACCTGGATGGTTACCTGCATGGTTCAAGACACACCCTTCATATGATGAAGGACATTCAGGAATGTCGCAGACCGGACGAGGGGAGTGCAGGGGTTCAGCAGGACCGTCGTGTGGACACGGGCTTTCAGCCAACCACCTTCGATGGTGAGGCAGGCTGTAGTGTAGCTACCACAGAGGTAGGATCGACACGCACACAGGAGGTGGTAGTGCCCCCCCCCCCCCCACTCCGTTGTTTGGTATGCCATTTGTTGATGGGGCAGGAGTGGAGCGTTGTGATGCACCTCTCCCGGGGAGTGCAGCACGTATGCCATGTCTCGCCATTGAGGATCACGGGAGCACTCCTGTTGTCGAGGAGCGGGAGACACATGCCACTGTTTCTGAGCAGCCGCATCCCATTGTCGAGGATCAAGTGACAGCTCCGGCTGCGGAGGAGTTGGAGGCGACTGTCATCTTCGAGCAGCAGACTAGTTTGGAGGGCATGGCTAGGTTCGACGGCACAGGGTAGACAGCACGGGCACCCCCAGGGGAGTCGATCGGGGAGGGGTAGAGGGAGACAGGGCATCGCAGGAGCGACAGAGAGGCTGTTGGGGTCACTCGGTGCCATAGGGGGGGGGTCACCAGTGCCCATATCCATACATGGAGTGAGGACTCGTTCTCGTGGTGCTGCGGACAGGACGAGGCGCATCGAGGTTCAGGAGGACGACGATGATGATGAGCAAGGCAACGGTGACGGGTCGGAGAGCGAGTACGAGGCGCCGCCACACCCCTCAGATGATGACGACGACGCAGACACCGGAGGGGACGCTGATGACGACCACTAGGTCGATGAGGTCACGATTGTCGAGGAGTGCTGCTGCACAGAGAGAGAGATAGATAGATAGATAGAGAGAGAGAGAGAGAGAGAGAGAGAGAGAGAGAGAGAGAGAGAGAGAGAGAGAGAGAGAGAGAGAGAG